AATCCACCCGGAATGGATGGGCTTCTAGGCCCAGATTACTTCGGCACCGGCTGTTTTTTTGTTCGTAGGATTTTCTTTGGAGGCCCATTTTCATTCCAATCACCTGAACTCTCCGAACTTAGCCCAAATCATGTTGTCGGAAAGCCCATTAAATCTCCACAAATCTTGGAATTGGCCCATCGAGTTGCGGGGTGTGATTATGAGACTAACACCCAGTGGGGTTATAAGGTATGGCGGCGCAAATTCAAACCACCAAGTACTTTTTTTTTATTTTTGTTTTAAATTTTTATTTTGTCGTTTGGCAGTTGGGGTTTAAATATGGGTCTGTCGTGGAGGACTTTTTCTCAGGCTATCGGTTTCAATCCGAGGGGTGGAGGAGTGTATTCTGTAATCCAAACAGGGCGGCTTTCTATGGCGACGTCCCCATCAACCTCCCCGATGCGCTGAATCAAATCAAGAGATGGGCTATTGGGCTTCTGGAAGTAACTTTCTCAAACTACAGCCCAATTACATTCGGTGTAAGGTCCATGGGCCTTTTAATGGGCCTATCGTACGCCCATTATGCATTCTGGCCCTTATGGTCCATTCCGGTTGCGGTTTATGCTTTCCTCCCCCAGCTGGCCCTAATCAATGGCGCCCCCATCTTCCCAAATGTATGGGATCCATGGTTTTTAGTGTACGCGTTCCTGTTTGTTGGAGCTTATGGTCAGGACCTTGTAGAGTTCGTTGTCGTGGGAGGAACATTCCGAAAATGGTGGAATGATCAAAGAATGTGGAGCGTAAGAGCGCTGTCTTGTTTATTATTTGGAACCATGGAGTTCGTGTTGAAATCTTTGGGGTTTTCGAATTTCGGTTTCAATGTCACCAGCAAAGTAATGGATCCTGAACAGAGCAAGAGGTACGAGGAGGAGTTGTTTGAGTTTGGAGTTTTCTCGCCGATGTTCGTGCCCATTGCCACGGTTGCAACCGTGAATTTGGCCGGTGGGCTCATCGGAATTTGGAGATCGTGCGGCGGAAGCGGCGGCGGCGGGTGGGAAAAAATGTTGCCTCAGATGTTGGTGGTTGGATTTGCAGTGGCGAATTGCTGGCCGGTTTATGAGGCCATGGCTTTAAGGAACGACGGAGGGAAGGTGCCATCCAAAATTACTTTCTTATCCCTCTTCCTCGCTCTGCTTATTTGCTATTTTGCAGCTTTTTTGTTTTAATTAAGTTAAATATTAGCTAAAATTTAACTTAATTCTAATTATTACCTCTTTAAAATATTTTCAATGTTTTTAATATTAATACAAATTGAAAATATGGAATAGGGTTGAATTGTCCGTTAAACCCGACAATGAGGACCAACCCAACTCAAATTATAGGTCTTGGATTGGATTGAGTTTATTTTTCTGAACCTGAAATAGAGATTAGCTTTATTTTTCTGAACTCAAATTAGTTCAGTTCAGTTTTAGGTTCATGGGACAAAATCTAGAATTGACCCGAATCGAAGTATTAAGTTATCAATCGAATCAACGAGAATTTCTTAAAGAAATTCCTCAACCTACGAACCCAATAATCTCTTGCTTCGAAGTTTGGTTGTAAATTACAAACAAACCAAAATTGACCCTAATAATTGAATATGAATGTATGAACGAAGAGGTTTCGGAGCCCACATTAAATAATTTTCTATTTATTAAATAAGTATCATTTTGAATTTTTTATTTTTTTTTTACCTATATTTACATAACTGGCCATAACGTTAGAATATTCGCTCACCATACCCAGGCCCGCACTTCTAAATTTAAGAAAATGAAGGGTTTCGAAATAAATTATAAAATTCAACCAACAAGTTCGGATGCAAAATCTCACACTCCAAGAGAATCATGGAGCAATACATTGCACGCGCCGCCATACCCAACCCTCCGCCACTCCCACTAAACTCCCAACACCTCTCCGGCCGCACCACCCTCTTCAACCGCCTCTTCGCCGCCGTTTACGCCGGTGCCATTTTATCTCTGTTTTATTACCACTTAACTTCACTTCTCAAATCCCCCACCTCTGTTTCTTCATTTTTCGTCTCTATTTCTCTATTCATCTCCGACGTCGTTTTGGCGTTCTTGTGGGCCACCACTCAATGCAACCGTATGATTCCCCTCCGCCGCCGCGAGTTCCCTAATAACCTCAAGCAGTTACTCAAAAACGATTCGGATTTTCCGGCGTTGGATGTCTTTATTTGCACTGCGGATCCGTACAAGGAGCCACCAATCAACGTCATCAACACAGCATTGTCCGTCTTGGCCTATGACTACCCGACAACTAAGATCTCCGTCTATATCTCCGACGACGGCGGCTCAGCCGTGACTCTCTTTGCTTTCATGGAAGCGGCCAGATTCGCCGCCGAATGGTTGCCGTTTTGCAGGAAAAACCACGTCGTTGAAAGGAATCCCGAGGCGTTCTTTGAGTCCAACAAGGATTTGAACTCTGAATCGGAGAAGATCAAGGTACATAATCTATGTTTTTTTTTTTAATAAAAATAAATAAATAAATTATTCGTTTATTCAATTAGTTTAAATAGTAATTTTTAGAAAATTTAGTAATATGAGATTTGAATTTTCTTAAATATTTTTATATTAAAATTTAAAATGTGGCCAATAAAAATTTGAATGGTCATATCATTTTAAGTGATCAGCTTAACTTGATTTAAAAATTTAAATTTTATTTTAATTTTAACGTGGTCCAGACAATATAGAATTGCCCTTAAATAGATATTTTGTAATGGCTCTACTCTCTCTCTCTCTCTCTCTCTCTCTATATATATATATATATATATATAGATGGCAATTTATGATTATTTGTGAATGACTAAAATGAAATAAAAACAATAAATTTATTATAAAACAAGAAAAATAAAAAATAAAGAAATGGGTTGTGTTTGGATGTGCAGATAATGTATGCGAAAATGAAAATTCGAATAGAAAATATTTTGGAGAAAGGGAAGGTTGGAGAAGAGTTCATGAATGGAGAAGAAGAGAGAATGATTTTGGGTAAATGGACCAATTGCTTCGCTCCACGACATCATCCGACAATCATTCACGTATTGTTGGAGAGCAGTAAGAACACAGACATAGCTGGAGAATCATTACCAAATCTCATCTATGTTTCAAGGCAAAAAAGTGAAACTTCTCGACACAATTTTAAGGCGGGTGCTCTTAATGTTCTGGTAATTAACCCGTTTACTCATTTACTTTCTCATATCAAAATTGTTGTTATCACTTAATTGTGTTTTAATGTCACCAGCTGCGAGTGTCAGCTACAATGACCAACGCACCGATTGTCTTGACTTTGGACTGTGATACCTATTCCAACGACCCGCAAACACCTCTTCGGGTGTTATGTTACTTTATGGACCCAAAAGTTGGAAGCAATTGTGGCTATGTTCAGTTCCCTCAACGATTCCGTGGGATCAGCAAGAATGATATGTATGGCAGCGAGTATATGCGGCTGTTTATATTTAACCCAATTGGTATGGATGGGTTGTTAGGTCCAGGCTATCTTGGCACCGGGTGTTTTTTTGTTCGACGAACTTTCTTCGGTGGCCCATCGGCGCTCGAACCACCTGAGCTCCCCGAGCTCCACCCAAGTCATGTTGTCCAAAACTCCATTCGGTCTCGACAGGTGTTGGACTTGGCTCATCTAGTTGCGAGGTGTGATTATGAGATTAACACCAAATGGGGTTCCAAATTGGGGTTTAGATATGGGTCTTTAGTGGAGGATTATTTCACGGCGTATCTACAGAAATCGGAGGGATGGAAGAGTGTGTTCTGTAATCCAAACAGGGCAGCTTTCTACGGCGACGCCCCGATGAACCTTCTGGACGCGGTGAATCAAGTGAAGAGATGGGCTATTGGGCTTTTGGAAGTGACATTCTCAAAGTACAGCCCAATTACATTCGGCGTGAGGTCCATGGGCCTTCTCATGGGTATTTCTTATTGTCATAACGCATTCTGGGCGTTTTTGTGTATTCCCGTCACGGTTTATGCCTTTCTCCCCCAATTGGCTCTTCTCAATGGCGCCTCCGTCTTCCCTAGGGTTTGGGATCCATGGTTTTCAGTGTATGCATTTCTGTTCTTGGGAGCCTATGGCCAAGATCTTCTGGAATTCCTGCAGGAAGGAAGCACGTTCCAGAAATGGTGGAACGATCAGAGGATTTGGAGCGTAAGAGCGCTGTCTAGCTACTTCTTTGCATCCATTGAGTTTTCCTTGAAGTCTCTTGGGATTTCCGCGCTAGGTTTCAATGTCACCAGCAAAGTTGTCGACCAAGATCAGAGCAAGCGATACGATCAGGAGTTGTTTGAGTTTGGAACCTCCTCGCCGATGTTCCTGCCCATGGCTACGGCGGCGATTGTCAACTTAGCTGGTTTCGCTGGCGGACTCATTGGGATTTGGAGATCCGGCGGCGCTTGGGAAGAAGTTTTTGTTCAGATTTTTTTGGCTGGATTTACAGTGGTGAATTGCTTCCCGCTTTATGAGGCCATGGCGTTTAGGAAGGATGGAGGGAAATTGCCATGCGAAATTACTTTCTTGTCCCTCTTCCTCGCTCTGCTTCTTTGCTCTTTTGCTGCTTTTTTCTCTTCGTTTTAACTAAGGCCTTTTCTAGAATTTCACATTTGTTTGTTTGGCTGTCTAGTTGGAGTAAGCCTTTGTTTGATGAGACCAGTTTGAGGAATTTGATATAATTTAAAATTACTTTATTATAATTATTTTAGTATCGTTAACTATGACTAGACCGTCTTAGTGACTAAAGTAGACAATCAGATAAAATCTGTCAACAATAGATTTGAGCGGTTATAAATGGTATAGAGTCAGGTATCGTAATACACGTTTTAAAATTGTGCAACTGATATATAATGAGCTAAAGTAACTAAAGCAAATAATACATTATTGTATATATAAGATATGTAATCGTGAGATTACATATATAAGATATGTGATGATGAGATAATCTCACGGGCCGAAATAAAAAACATGCAATACAATTTAACTTAATTTTAAAAACTTAGTCTAATTTTTTCTATGATTAGTAATAAATTTCCTCTCCTAATCGGGTTGTTTTATAAGTTTATTACAGTATATGGGCCGGGTATGGGTATCGGTTCGGATTCGACCCATTTGTGAATCTTAGAGAAAGTGCAAATCCTTCTTGAAGAGCAATCAAAACAACAAACAAAGGTGACCATCTTCATTTCAATTTCAGCAGAGAGATTCGGAGGAAGAAATTGAAGGAGACGAAGATCGCCATGGAACCAAAGCTAACTGAGGTCTCGCAGCACATCGATCGCTTCAAAGCTGCGTTTGTTAGGCACGATTATGATTCTTGTAGCAATCTCCTCTCTCAGCTGAAGGTGTCGATTTCATTTCAGAACCCTAATGTCTCTCTCTATGACTCCTCCGTTCGCTACGTCACTGGAGTTTTAGCGTGTTTTCTTCTATTCTCGAGGAGTCGTTTTGATAATGTTGTTAAAGTTTCCGAAATCTTTCTTCATTTCATTTTTGCAGGTTTTTTTAACTGGATTCAGAAGTCTTCCACCATTGTTCGAAGATACGCCCAATGCAGTCCATGAATTGACGGTAGCTAGTAAGAATTCATACTCCATGCCGTAGTTCTATAGCTCTTATTGGCTGGCTTATATTTTTCTGTATGAATAATTTGGAATAATTTGCCGTCGCTTGGGTCTTGAAATTACTCAACTGAAGAGAAACTTATAGTCTTGTCATGCATCTTCATAGTAGCAGATGGAGACTTATATTTGTGTGGTAATTGTTATTCAATTTCATGATTAGTGACTGTAAAGCTACAACCCGAACTACAAGCATAAGCTACTAGATTATCTATTATCTACAATGATAAGGTTATTATGGAGCCTTGGAACCATTTTCCCATCTTAGAAGCTAGATGATCGTACCCAGTCGATGAAAATTTGTTTAACGTTTTAATGAGCCATTGAAGTTATTTTACTCAGACGTACGAAATATGAGAAACAAATGTCGTAGATTGATTAACTATTGAATATTCTGATGCATAATTTTCTGTACGAAAGAGTTTGTTATCTGTATGGAACTTGGGTTTCTTCTTTCCCTGTCTAGTCATTTTCTACATTTAAATCTTGTAAAAAAATTTGTGTTCACTTGTGGAATTCAGGGGATATATACGAGCATGCTGTATTACTTAGTGTGAAGATTGAAGATCAAGATGCATTTGAAAGAGATTTCTTCCAATTGAAGCCTTACTATACTGATGCTCGGTGTGTTTCTCTTAAGTGAAATTTGAATACCTAAATTCTATCTAAATGATTAAATTGCTTTATTATCATGATATATTGCTTGTTTAGTTCAGATTGGGAGATGTGTAGTTTTTATACTCCACGAAAATATAAATTTAACTGAAGTTCTATTGAGCTATTTGATTCTTTGTTCATTTAAAGTGAAATATCGCGTATTGATATTATTTGCAATTATAATTCTCTTATTTCGTCAGTATTCATTAGCTTACTTTAATGTATTATCTTCCTTCTTTCAAGTAAATAAGTTAATTAATTCAACTGAACTGATTCAGTGAGATGGTGGACTGACAATAAATTGCTGCAGATTAGCAAATGGATCCAAACTTATCAGACAAACATCTTCTACGAGTTATCTTTATGTTCAAAACTGATACCTAATCTATAACTTTAGGTTGAGCTTCCTGTGGTTATCTTGCATTTTACCAGAATTGCCACATTGAGATCACTTGATATTACCTTGTGAGTTTGAACTAATTTTTTCGCATGATTTTTTTTTTTTACGGAGCAGTAACCGCCTTCCGCCATCCCCTCAGGAGTATCCCATCTTGGGTCTCAACCTTTTGAGGCTTCTTGTGCAGAACAGAATTGCTGAATTTCATACTGAACTTGAACTTCTCTCCACCTCTGCTTTGGAGAACCCATGCATTAAACATGCTGTAGAGCTGGAGCAATCTTTCATGGAAGGGGCTTACAACCGTGTGTTGAGTGCTCGACAGACAGTGCCACATGAAACTTTTGGTTATTTTATGGACCTCCTTGCAAAGACTGTAAGGTAACTCATCTAAATAAGGTGTCTAAGTAATATAGTGATAGATGAGAAATCCCACCTCCTTCGAAGTGTTTGCCGAATTCTCTCTCACTCTCTCTTCTTACTTGGGGTCACTGACAAGTAGCAGTTCCATTTCATTCTTAGTTTCTATTCATAGTTTGCGTCTTTTCTGCCACTTCCAGGGATGAAATAGCCGGTTGCAGTGAAAAGGCATATGATTATCTTTCAATAAGTAATGCCCGCCAAATGCTGCTGTTTTCCTCTGACCAGGAACTTTTGGAATATGTCAAGAAGGTAACCTCTGTTAAGTCTGTTGGATGGTATCTAGACATCGATAATCTACGTAATCACTAAAAAGTTTTAGGTTAGACCAAAGTTTTTTTTTCACTGAACTGCAAAACATTTACCGTGATGCGGTGCATATAGTCCATTGAACTGATCTGCAGTATGTTGAGTCCCACCCTGGCTAACTAAGGGGATGATCATGAGTTTATAAGTGGACAATATCATATCATATTATGAAGGGTCCATGGTTCCGAACACAGTATGTAGGTTAGGAGTAGTTTCCATTTGGAGGGTTTGCACCTGTTGATGGAAATCTTATGTTTCAATGCAGGAGCATCCCGAGTGGGAGATAACGAACGGCATCTTATATTTCCAGAAGGTGAAAGAATCTGCACCTTGCAAGGAAATTCCTTCTGTTCAACTTATCAACCAAACACTCAGTTACGCAAGGGAGTTGGAGCGGATTGTATGAACCAAGCTAGCAGCTTCTCAGGATTGTCATCTGCTGATTTATAACATGCCAAGGTTTTATGATTCTCCCTCCCCCCTCTTATGATCATTATGGGGTTTTATTTTTTTTCCAAACAAAGTTATTTTTTTTGTTGACATCGACTCAGATTTGCATCAAATTATCTTGGTAACTTCATTAACATAAGATGACTGTTCATGCATTTTTCTTTGCCAAGTGTTTGTTTACAATCACATATCCTCGGCATCTAGTTAGATTCCAACGTCAAGGAAGTCGTTATTGTTTGATTATTCCTATGGAATTAAAAAATGGCTTCAAACATTACTTTGAAGCTCAAGTTTACAAAATGGGTTTCCATGTATTCGAATCTGATAAAATTGTGATTCAAATACTAAGATGTTTGGAATTGCAGAGCAGAGTTGCTTCAGGTTCGGAAATTAGAGTAGAAAGGTACGTTATAATATTTTAATTTATTTTTATATATACATATTAGGAAATTAGAAGTAAAGGAGCGAGAAATTTTGTACTTTTAGGGGAAATTAAACGTTTTATCCATGTTCCATTGACCTGGAATTTATTAATTTTTAGATTAGTTTATGATTTCAGAACTTCTACTAGATAAACTATTTTATTTTTAGTTTTCTTTCAAAATTATACTTGTTTTTTTTTTTTAAAAAAAAATTGTCTATTAGATTATATAACAAATGAACGCTTGAATGGATTTATAACACTGTTTCGTACTGCACTTTTCTCCTTTTATTCTATTATCCATTTGTATTTTTTTATTCAAATGAATGAAAATTGGGATATCATTAAAGGAAAAAGTAAGTCAAAGGACAGATTATAAATATATGTTACAAAAAAAAACAGCAAGCAAATATGTATTGATTAAAATTAGAAAATCAAATGAAAACAAAATAAAGTCATTGTCAGATCAAAATTGAGTCTTTAAAATAAAGAAGTAGATAAGATTTAAATACGCTATTTATTATTAAAATTAAAACAGTGAATGGAAGAATAGAATATAAATGAAATGCAATTTGTTGTCGGTGTCGCGGCGGCGAAAGTTGCGACGGCGCGCCGAGTCCCGGCCGGTGGGGGCGGCCCCCATAACTCTGGAACGTTCCGAAGCTGTCTCAATCCGTACAACTTGTGCCCTTCATTGTCAACTTCGAATATTTCAAAATCTCTTGTGGCTTACAACTCCTCCCTCTTCTTTTTTTTTTTTTTTTTTTTTTTTTTTTTTTTTTTT